GAGTGGTTAACTTTTCTTTAAATTTAGCTATCAGTTTCACATTTTGTTCAGTTCTTGAAAACATCAAATATTGACACTGCTTGCTAATTGCATATAGCAACGGGTAGTTGGTCATGTGTTTGGTTCACATGTGGAATGATGACATGATCCAAATGGATGAGAATCTGAGTTGATTTTACCACTCTTAAGCCACTGTGTTAATGCATATTTATCAGAAGGTAATTGATGGTGCAACTTTATGAACAGTATTTTCTGGAAAAGACTATACATGTACTATCATAACTGATAAAAAACTTAGTGTATATTGGCTGTGTCAGTTTACTTTGATGTTGAGTGTAGGTGATTTATTTTAACAGGTATTTGATTTGTGTTCATACAGGTGGTAGTACTCTTTTAACCATTGAAACAGCTGTCACTTGTCTTCATAGTATTGTTCTTTTGTATTCACTTCAGGTAGTTGTTGGGGTTAATCCATGCAATTAAATATCTACAAATATAGAAACTTTGTTAGCAAAAAACATGAAATCAAGTACTCACAAAAATGATTTTTTAAAAAATCCTTCAAACCATGAAAATTGAGACCCACAAAAGAAAATGATAATTCAGTATGATATATATGCAGTATTTCCTGGAAATACAATCCATTCATTCATTTTAAAACACAAAATGTCTTTATTTATAACTGGCAAGAACTTTGGCACAGATTTTTAGCAAAATAATCCTAATTGAAAAAAAAAGATTCCAAAAATATAGTTAATAGCTATCCAGTATTGTATAGTGTTGAGATCACATTAAAGTTTTTGGGCTTGAAATTCAGCATTGATGGCCATGAATTGAAATACTTTATGTCAGTAATTATATTGTATATTCCTCTTGGCTATTAAAGTTCCATAATTACATCGACTTGAAGTTGAACTTTTATTTGCAATTATTTTGTGTTTAAAGATATATGTAAGTTTAGATTATTTGAGTGTTTCACTTGAATGCTTGCTCTAGATTTTAAAGTTATTGACCCATCATGTTCTCCCACACACAGTACACATGTCAGATTTGTCTAGTTTATGCAGTTATCAGGAGTAAATCAAACTCTCTATGCTTATCAGAGTCAGAAATTTGTGGTAGAGTGATATTGGTATTCCGTACTGAAACAAATAAGCCGGTCTGACATGGCATGGCGTTAGTAACAAAATTCTACAGGGGTCCCAAGTGGTCTAAAGTGCTCTCCATTATGGATCACTGCCATCTCACCTCTGTCTGTGTGGGTTCGAGTCTAAGATTGCCAGTGAGAAAGCTTGCCAGTAGCTTCTCGTGGGTCAGTGGTTCTTTCCTCGGATTTCACGGTTTCTTTCTCCACCATTAATACTGGCCTCCATTTATAGCCTATCGTGTGCAGAAAAATGTCGTTAAGCCCCAGAGTAACAACAACAACAAAATTCTACACCTGCTTGAGACAAATTAAAAGGCAAATGTAGATGCTATTCAAGAACTTAGTTTTTCGCATGAGCTTTGAAATTGGTGGGCCAGACAGTTTTGCATGAGTCAGTGGGCATCATTATGTGACAGAGTATGCCTATAAGAAGCTTGAGGAATCTTGGCAAATTTAAATATGATGCAGTTTTGTACATCACTAGAATTGTCAATAAAGTATTCAAGCCAATATTGCCACTAGTCTGTATTGTACACAGCATAGACCCATATCTGCCGCTGTATAACATGCTATCAGATTAAAGTCAGCCTCACTGTTTGTTCATCTGATTTCAAGCGAAGAAAGTACTCTTCGATGGCATAAATGAGTGTATGCACACAGTACATAAGTTACTATGGTGTTACAACTTTAATTTACCATTGATTTCAGATTCCAATCTGATGTCTGCCTCTAGTCAACAGTTAGTTAATCAGCTTGAAGATTAGAAGCAGGGTATACATGACTGTTCACACTATTTTATGTATGAATATAAACATTTTGCAAAGCAGTATTGAAAGTCATTAATAAAGTATTTCAAAAAAACTTTTCCATTGCATCTGATATTTTTGATGGTTTAGCTTGCTTCATGGACGTATCTTCCATTATATGTCAGCATCAGTAGACAGGAACAAATTTACAAATTTACTCAGAAGTGGAGCCCATCTTCAAGCTGCAGATAGCCAGATCTAGCATTATATAATGCATTCTTTTTCTGGAAGATATCGGTCTCTTTTATGTTTGTAGTTACCTTTAGAACAAGCTGCATTGACCATGATTTGCCAGCACATTATTTGATGGCAGATCCAGGCCTGTCTTAATTGCATTTGGACTCAACTTGTGAGTACATGTGGTACCACACAGTTCCATTTCTTTGCTATATGTTCGAGGTACTAACTATGACAAATCTTTTATTGCATCTTGAGGTACTAACTGTGACTAATCCTTTATTGCATCTTGAGGTACTATGACAAATTCTTTATTACATCTTGACAATGTCTTACTATTTCTTTAGGTACTATGTTGAAGTCTTATTATATCTTGAGGTACTAACATTGACAAATCCTTACTAATATTGAGATACTATGACAAATCTGTATGACTTGAGGTACTATCTGTGAGATATCCTTACTATATGCTGAGGTACTGTGACAAATCCATGTTATAACCTTTAGGTACTGTATCAGATCCTTACTATATCTTGAGGTACTAGCTATGACAAACCCTTACTATATCTTGAGGTACTAGCTATGACAAACCCTTACTATATCTTGAGGTACTAGCTATGACAAACCCTTACTATATCTTGAGGTACAAGCTATGACAAACCCTTACTATATCTTGAGGTACTAGCTATGACAAACCCTTAATATATCTTGAGGTACTAGCTATGACAAACCCTTACTATATCTTGAGGTACTAGCTATGACAAACCCTTACTATATCTTGAGGTACTAGCTATGACAAAATTTCTTACTATATCTTGAGGTACTAGCTATGACAAAATTTCTTACTATATCTTGAGGTACTAGCTATGACAAACCCTTACTATATCTTGAGGTACTAGCTATGACAAACCCTTACTGTATATTGAGGTACTGAGACAAATCCATGCTATAACCATGAGGTATTCTGCCATATCATTACTCTATCTTGAGGTCCTAACTATGACAAATCCTTACTACATGTTGAGGTACTGTGATAAATCCATACTATAACCATGAGGTACTCTGCCATATCATTACTATATCTTAAGGTCCTAAATATGACTAATCCTTACTACATGTTTAGGTACTGTGACAAATCCATGCTATAACCATGAGGTACTCTGCAATATCATTACTGTATCTTGAGGTCCTAACTATGACAAATCCTTACTACATGTTTAGGTATTGTGACAAATCCATGCTATAACCATGAGGTACTCTGCTATATCATTACTGTATCTTAAGGTCCTAAATATGACTAATCCTTACTGCATGTTGAGGTACTGTGACAAATCCATGCTGTAACCATGAGGTACTCTGCCATATCATTACTGTATCTTGAGGTCCTAACTATGACAAATCCTTACTACATGTTGAGGTACTGTGACAAATCCATGCTATAACCATGAGGTACTCTGCTATATCATTACTGTATCTTAAGGTCCTAAATTATGACTAATTCTTACTACATGTGGAGGTACTGTTACAAATCCATGCTATAACCTTCAGGTACTATACCAAATCCTTACTGTATCTTGAGATACTAGCTATGAGAAATCCTTTCAATATATGGAGGTACTGTGACTAATCTATGCTATAACCATGAGATATTTTGTCAAATCTTTCTTATATCTTGAGGTACTATGATAAATCCTTACTGTATTTTGAGATACTGCGACAAATCATCGCTATAACTTTGACATACTGTGTCAGATCCTTTGCTATAACCTTGAGGGATTTTGTCAGATCCTTGCTATAACCTTGAGGTATTTTGTCAGATCCTTAAGGTAGTAGCTATGACAGATCCTTATATGTTTGAGGTGCTAACAATTCCCTACTATTATTTTGACATTTTTTTTGATGATTTTTTTTCTTCAAGCAGTAATGCTTTTCTATCTGATTTTAAACAAAATATTTGAAAGAAAAACAAACCATATTACATCCACTGTCAGTAATTGTTTCTCATTACTTGAAATGAGATTTTGTTTTCAATACTGTTTTGCAAATGGTTTATTTCTGCTCAGCTATTTTTGTTCTGCATGCATAACATAGTTGAGACAAAGATATCACATTTTTCTAGGCATCATCATCATGTTAGTTTCCATAAGTAAGTTAAATAATTTCATACAATAGTGATTGCATTAATATTTTCATTTAACTGAATTTCTGCTATGTTGTTTGAGAATATTGTCAAGTACATTAATATTCCTGCCAATGAAAAGCAGATCAGTGACAGATGCCTGTATTAGACAATGGAAAAGCAGGCAAGACAGAGCATTCCATGACATTATTGTTGTATTCTGTTTACCTTGCATGCATTATTTTGTTGGCGTTTTGTTTGTTATGTTCATGTGTTTGACAAAGTATATAATCATCCCTAACATGTATCTAGATGTATATTTGGTATCTTATTGTTTTGCATGCAAATTCAAATGAGTCAGAGGTTTCCTTTTCAGTGCTGTTGGCAGTGTGTTGCCATGGCAACATTACATATACATAATATCAAATATTGCTTTCAGCTGTCATGATAAAGTTTTAGGTTACATTTTTCCAAGTTGGACTTGACACTTAACAAAAAAGGGCTTTATTGTATAGGTGGCAGTACCCTTCTATCACTCTAAAGCATAAGAAGGATAGTATCCTTCTATCACTCTAAAGCATAAGTTAATTAGTTTACATGTTCTATTTTCTTTTTCTTATTGATAATTTATATTTTTAGCTCACTTAACATAATGATGAGATCTTGAATAAGTTTAAATTTCAAGTTGCATTTACTGCCATTGGTGATAGGCTTGACCAGTATCTAAATATCACCTGTTACCATCAATAAAGACTGCTTTGGTCTAATAGTGGTTAGAGTGTCTGTCTCCGATGCAGGAGGTAATGGGTTCAAACCCCAGCTGAGTCATACCAAAGACTTAAAAAATGGTACTCACAGATGCCTTGCTAGGCATTCAACAATAAGAAGTTAGTTTTGGGACTGGTTGGTCTGGTGTCAGGATAATGTGACTGGGTGGGACATCATGCTATATGTCTGCAGCATGATGTCTCAGTGCTAGACATTACTATAAACTCCACATAGCAGAAATTGTAGCAGTATGACTAAAAAAATGTTAAAGCTATGTTAAAAATCCAAATCACACACACACACACACACACACACACGCATTCCATCCCTAAATGATTTAATTACTTTACTATCAGAGTTGTGGCCCATTATTGCTTGTCTTCTGCAAACGTCAGTTTTCCAACATTCTTATGTATAAAGTACTGACAAACAAGCTGTGATAATTACAGTTTTGTATTTGCTGTTTTGTATTTTGTATTTTGTATTTGCTGTTTGTTCCGAACAGAAAGTTATATTGACATGGGGGTTTTCACCACAGCACTTCTTGTGCAGTCTAGTTGGTCCTCAATCAAAATGGTTCCGATTTGACACCCAGTATGGCCACCACAGCAGCCATCCTTCAACTCATCACTACTTCTCCTAAGTATGGAGTTTTGACTATAAGACTTTTTATGGTTTTGATCTGATGCCAAATACGTCTACCACAGCAGAATCTTGAAAAGTTGTGTTATTGCTACTCCACTTGAACAGACATTCATATTGACAATGGAGTTTCACCAGAGAAGACTTCTTATGATATACAGTTGGTCCTAAATGAAAATGGTGCAACTTGCACATTCGGTATAGGTTCCAGAGTGGCTATCTTGAAAATCTTGTTATTGCTACCCATGCAATTGTGGTCATATCAGCATGTTTTTTTTTATATCTAAAATACTTTATGTGATAACTAATTAATCCTAAAAAAATGGTCCTGCTCAGTACGTAATAACTAACTGATCTTAAAAAAATGGTCCTGCTCAGTATGTAATAACTAATTGATCTTAAAAAATGGTCCTGCTCAGTATGTAATAACTAATTGATCTTAAAAAAAATGGTCCTGCTCAGCCACCTAGTATGGCCATCTTGAACAAACCTTGTTATTAATACTTCTTATAATGGACATATTAAAATGGTTTATTATGCTGCTGATCTGACCTCCAGTATGGCTGCCATGGTATCCATTTTGAAAATCTTGTGCTTCTTCTCCTTAAGGACTGGTGTTATCAACATAGTGCCAAGTAAAAATGGTTCTGATCTGATCTCCAGTATGGCCACATTGGCAGCCATTGTAAAAAAATTTGTATCAAAAATTTGTTTCAGCTTGGGGTTTTCACAATGTACTTCATAGATGTCATGTTATGACCAAATTGAAATGGTTCTGATTTTAATGTCAACTATGGTGGCCATCTAAAAAAATCTATTAAATGGAAGATCATTTAAACATGGGGTTTTCATAAGATCTCTTTTGGTTACTAGTTGGTCCTAAATGAAAATGATGCAAACTTACAACAATTGGGTCACCTTGTGGCCAGTTTGAAAATATTATCTCTATTCCTCCCAGATTGATGGCTATTATTAACATGGTTTGTAGATTACAATACTTTGATGGTCTTAAATGAAAATGGTGCCAATTGTACATCCAATATGGCTGTAATGATGGTCACCTTCAGAATCTTGCTATCATTACTCCCCTTAAATGAATGGTAATAATGGCATTCGGTTTTCACCAAAAGACTTCAAATGATGTTGTAGGGTTTAACACCATTTTTCAGTACAAGATAGGCTATATATGGCAGCCAGTATAAATGGTGGAGGAAGAACAAAGGAAAACTCAGGAAAGAACCACCTACCCACGAGAAACTGCTGGCAAGCTTTCTCACATATCCATATTGGCCAATCCCAAGACTCAAACCCATGCAGAGGTGAGACAGCAGTGATGTGTAATGTTGAGCGTTTTAGACCACTCAGCCATTTGAGGCCCCTCTAATGATGTCTACCTGGTCATAAATAAAAATGGTGTCAATCTGACAATATGTTTTTGTCATTGGTAAACTTCATTCTAGAAATGTTGCTTTTATATGAGATGATTTATCTTTGCATGTATTGATTTTAGTAACATTATGTCAGCAGGGTCTGCATGGGACCTTGAAAAGCCTTGACAAATGAATTTGTCCCTCAAGGCCTTGAAAGCACCATGAAAATTCAAAATATTGTCTGGAATAACCTTGATTTTTTTTTAAACTGAAGGGAATTAATAGTTTTCATTTTGTAGATTTAAATTTTAAAAAAAGAAAATAATCCCCTCCCCTCCATAAAAATATGATCGCTTGCTATGTTTGTGCTGGAACAGAAATTTCAACAACTGGCTGCTTTGCAGTTGTAAATTTTTATCTTCCAGTTGTAAGAATCCCAGATGTAGCTGCATGTTTAAATTCGAATTATTTGTAATCTTTGAAATGGCTGGTGCTAATAACAACTTCACTGGCTCGATGAAGAAAAATATAAAGTTTGCCACAAGGATATTGATTTATGTGCAATGAGAGTGAGTGCTCTATTGTCACACACAGCTGGAAAAAAACACCAAGCTCTCTTAATGGTGGCTAATAAGGCAAAAAAAGAAGCATGAAATTGTTTTGACAAAAGAGGTGTGTCTGTGATCAGAGAGATTAAAGTTTTAAAACAGAAACTGTAGATAGGTTTAATTATAAAATTAGTTTGATCAGGTTCTGTTTTTGGAATGAGTGGAAATAGGACAGACAATTGCAATGAACATGATAAATCTAAATATATAGAACACAGCTAAGCTAGAGAAATATCAATATATCTAATATGAAATAGTTTAAAATATCCATACTATTTTTTTAATAAGTGATAATAAAAAAACATCTTTGGGGGGTTTGTTCTATGGTGGTGGGTGAAGAAGAAAGGCAGGTGCTGAAAAAGACATTGAGGCAATGACAGCTGCTGCTGATTATGTGTTGAAAGTTACATGGACTGAAAACAAATTCACTCTAAAATAGTGTGGAATTGATAAATAGTGTAATGTAAACAGAATGAAAAGAACATTGTTCAGTGACTGTACACTAATGCCCAGAGTATATTTAGTATTAATAGGAATGATATCAATGATCATATTTGTTTTGTGACAAGGGCTCATACTCAGTAACAAAGAAAAGATTGAAAGCCAATAAGCTTTGTAAATTTTAACAAAACAATTTATTTCCCTAGATAACAATGTAAAAATTGGTAAAGAGGACTTACAGTTTGTAAATAAAATCCAAATATGATTTTAAGTCCTATCACTAAATAGTCTTATAAGAATCCAGGTGTAAGACCTGATGACCTACGAATATGGAGGGTGATGACATCAAATGTAGTCCAATGTATGAATAACAATAATTTCATACTTGAATCAGTCTTTGTTTCCGAATAATTTTAGAATAAATTTCATTGAATATCTTTCAGAATTTTTTATAAAAGTCAACTTGTTGAGTTTCCAGGGAAAAAAATTTTTGAATCCAAAAATCAGACGAAGAATAATATATTCTGGCAACAAATTAAAATTAATACACCTTATTCCTTCAAAGTTTTGAATGACTCTGCCCAAATTAATATTAAAATGCGTATTTAATTCTCCAAAACCCTATTTCAAGTCTTGCAAGATTGGTCATGTGGTCTCTTACTACACTAGTTTTGTCACGTCGTCCAATATAGACCAACTTAAAAACCAATCATAAAAATAGGCTGTTTACAAACATTAATTACATGAAGAAAGTATGTCCATGATGCTAACCAACCATTTTAACTTCCTATTGATTTGTTGCCAAGGTAAGACAGACTCGATGATAATTCGCACATATTAATATTTCGTCTTAAGTAAATAGCTTTGTGCTAAAAATATCTCATTACTAAAAATAGAATCCCGAATCTGATAAAAAATATTCATCGCAATTAAATACAATGAAACAAAAATAAAATAATAAGAATTTTAAACCTTATACACAAACAATTTAATCACATATATGTAACAATAGTCTAGACTTCATGGGGTGGGTGGTGGAATAAATTTGCAAGAAATATTCCTCATGTGAAGTATTAGTAAGTATTAACTTGTGTTTACATACAGTTTATGTATCCTTTAAAATTAATAATGCACCTTGAAAAACATGATTTTGAACCTTGAAAATATCTTGAAAATGTTGAAAGAAATATGCTATTAACATGTAGAATATGATGTAAGCAATATTAAATTTTCTATGCATGTCAGCTGATTCACCATAATGCTTGATGATTGCATGTATCAATGTTAACTATTGGTGGATGTACTTAGAATATACTTGATACTAAATTTCAACTTTTAAAAACTTAAGCTTCTCCACTGCATAGTATTTATACTTCAACTTGTCACCTATATAATATTTATACGTTACCTACTTACCTACGTAGTATTTATACTTGTCATCTACATAATATTTTTACTTGTCACATACAGTGTTTATACTTGTCATCTACATAATATTTAAACTTCAACTTGTCACCTACATAGTATTTATGCTTCAACTTGTCACATACATAGTATTTATACTTCAACTTGTCAGATACATAGTATTTATACTTCAACTTGTCACCTACATAGTATTTATACTTCAACTTGTCACCTACATAGTATTTATACTTCAACTTGTCACCTACATAGTATTTATACTTCAACTTGTCACCTACATAGTATTTATACTTCAACTTGTCACCTACATAGTATTTATACTTCAACTTGTCACCTACATAGTATTTATACTTCAACTGGTTACCTACATAGTATTTATACTTATCACCTACATAGTATTATACTGGTCACCTACATAGTATTTATACTTCAATTTAGTAGCAGTCATGTTTAGATGGCTGCAATTTACCTTTTTGTTTTTACACATGAATAAGTTCTTAATTTCTCTAGACTATAATTAACATATTATAGAAAATATTTAATACTGTGAAACTTCTATAATCAAGCACCTGTGTAA